AGCACTCTGTATATCACACAATTTAGTACAGCTGTCTCTCATATCCACTAATTATATACTGGATTCACTAGCCCATCAGAAGTTGCTCTAAACAAACCAACTAGTAATTGGAAATTGTAAAGGCACTGACTTGGAATAAGGCTTTACTAGATCTTGTTTTGCTCAGTTAAAAATATGCAATATAACTGAATAATGCAATTGAACTATAGAACTTGAATTCATATTTAGATTTGAACTCCAAATTTCCTCATGATTTGGTGAACCTTCTCATGTGTTTTTAGTTTACTTCGTCCATTATTAGTCTGCATTGTTTCAGTGAACTGTCAGATTGACACGTGATTGCTTGTGTCTCCTCGGTGAAGTAACAATATTACACTGAGTCTCAGGATGTTCATCTGCAAAATGTGTATAATAATACCAAAAGGCATTATCTGGTAAATGGATTCATTAATGGCAGTACAGCCCCCATAAAAGTAGAAAAAAAAAGTTGTTTTGAATTTGAAATACATTCCAACAAGTTTTATAGCACCTTGCTGAGGAGAGAGGCTGAAAATTGATATAATGGATAAAATTAATCTAGAAGCCTTCCATTAAGTTAAAAGTAGTCCCGTGCAGGTAGAGTGCTGTCAGAGCTTCAAGATCAGCATAAATTTAGAGTGAAATATTTGAAGTAAGCCAGATATATTCCACTGCTTGAAATGCCCCGGTGTTCCAGGGCAGTAAGGCGAGTAAGAGGAAAGTTCAGCAGAGAGTCACTGTTCAAGGGTCCAGACACGGGGTTTAGGAAAGCAAAGCCTACCTGGGGATAAATCTGTTGAGGAATGTGAAGGGCACCAAGAAATATTTCTGCAAGTGTAACAGCACCAAAAGAAAGTCCAGGGAAAATGTGGTCCGGTGCTGAATGGGGGCAGGGGACATGGTGATAAATGACATGGAAAAGGCTGACATACTCCATGCCTTCATTGCCTCTGTCCTTACTGATAAGAGTGGCTTTCAGGAATCCTAGGCCCTTGAGACCAGAGGGGAAGTCTGGAGCAAGGACACTTACCCTCAGTGGAGGAGGAGGTTAGGGAATGTCTAAACGGACTGCGCAGATACAAGTCCATGGACTCTGACAAGGTGCACCTACGAGTACTGAAAGAGCTGGTTGAGGTCATTGTGAGGCCACGCTTGATTATCTTTGAAAGGTTTTGGTGACTGGGGGAGGTTTCTGAAGACTGGAAGAAAGCAAATGTCGCTCCTATCTTCAAGAAGGAAGATCCAGAGAACTTCAAGCTGGTCAGCTTCACATTAGTCCCTGTGTACATGATGGAGTAAATCCTGGAAACGGTTTCCTTGATCAGCCTTCTATGATGAAATAACTGCCTTGGTAGATGAGAGGGGAGCAGTGAATGTGATTCACCTTGACTTCAGCAAGACTTTCAGCACTGCCTCCCATAACATTCTCAAATACAAACTGCTGAATAATGGACCAGACAAGTGGATACTCAGGTGGAATGAAAACTGGTTGAACTGCTGGATATAAAGGGCTGTGATCAGACCTGCTGGGCTCTAAAGTGTTGTGGCACAAAGTCCGTCTGGAGGCTGACCTAGCCTGGCTATCCCACCTTACCACCTGTAAGACGCATGGATGCAGGGTAGCAGTGCTGTTCTGTGACAGCTTGAACTCAGCTGTCCAGAGACCTCCAGTGCTCTTGCAGCACGTGACACCAGTGCCTGTCTCAGAACGATGCTGCAGTCCTATGACATTGCTCCAAAAGTAGGTAGGTTGTAAGAAGGTAGGCAAGGCAGATTCTGCAAGTCTAGGTCCTACATATGGCAGAGAGGTTTGTGTGGGGTCTGTAATAAGACAACACAGTCTTCTTTCTCTGGGCTGTTGGTGAGTAATGCCCGTGAGTGTAGGCTCCGAGCCAGCACTAGCGACAAAGTGTGTGGAGAGAGAGGCTTTCAGCCCATATCCCTCTTCTGGGGCTGTGTAGAGGGAGCAAGCATGAAAAGATGCACTACAGGCTAAATTTATGGTAAAGTGTTAGCTTAAAGTACGTTCTCAGTGCCTGTATCCATTCCTTAAGATGTGAAACTCTCTGAAGTCTGGCTGACTTACTCCTCCAGATCAGTACTTTGCTTGCTTGAACTCCAGTGGCATATAAATAATCTCATTAGTATTTATTGCTTCTACAGCCAACTATGAGCTCTCTGAGTTTTGTTATTAATTCTTTTAGGTACAATATGCCAAACAAGCAAGAAACAGACTTCACAAGGGAATTGCTTAAATTGAGGGATTCAAAACAGCACAAAATAAGAAATTGTCAGGTGATCTATCTCCTGTTATAATTTCAAGGAGATTCTAGGATACAAGGACATTGTTATCCTTGTTCCTTCAAAGGATGGCCTGGCTGATCCTTGCCTGAGGGAGACAATGCATACAGAGGGATGCCCTGTGTTGCCAACTCTGAAACTGTTCCTTGTAGCGTTGCGGTAGTGGACAAGCACTCTCCCTCATTTAGTGCTAAACTTAGTTACTAAACTCTGGAGAATAAGACACCTTTGCTTTACTAGCTGCCCAAGAATCACTTTCAGAACTAGTTGTGGGTTTTTTTCTTAAAAAAGAAAAAAAAAATCCTATTGTCAGTAATATGTTCCAGTTCCCTGAGTTTTTCTTAAATGTATGTTACCTTCTAGTGGCTTTTGACTCTGCTTTGGCCTGAAAATACTTCCTAAGCTTCCTTTAGTGCAATCAAATTACAAAGGTGTTTCACACAGCTGCCCAGAAGCCGAAACCACTCCTTCAACAAGCTCTGTGCTTGAGCTTGTGTTACCTAAAATGGATCCAGACTTTGAATAAAATAATTATCACCCTGTTGTATGGATTCAGGATTGGAGCTTCTTCCAGTTCATTCACGTGACTCGTTCAGTGAAAACTTTATCTCGTGGCTTAACTCACACCTGATAGTGTTTCAGCAATGTCCTATGAAGGCACCTTTAGATTATACCTCATAGATGCATGAGCCTGACTGAAGGTTTGCACCTAGCTTACTGTAAATAATGTATATTACTTCTATCTGGCACACAGACAAGTGCAAATTCACTACACAAGTCTACACCTGGACAAAATAATTGCAGCTCCTTACAAGATCTTGATAGCCTCGTGGTGTGGTGACAGACCCAGAGGATTGTGTGATCCCTAAGTGTGATTTGTGGGGTGACTACACTACCTTGGTTCATAACATCTACAGTATGGGCTCATTTGTTCATTTTGGTCACAGTTTCTCTTATCTGCTGTTAGGGGGAGAGGATCATTCAGGGTTAGCAGAGTCTAATGATTCCTTCATTAAATGGTCTCTTTGGCACATCCAAAAACCTTTCCTGACATTCAATATTTGGAAGGAACCAGGCAATGTAGTTCAGAGTAGATTTCCAGCTCTTAACACCAGCTCTTAACTTAGTGTACTAACAAGCAATTTTCATCATGTTGCGTGAGTATACCATTTCTGTGAGTTGTTTAAAAACATACATAGTAAATACTCTTCTGTGTGTGCTGGGAGGCAAAGAGAGTTAGATCAGGAAAACTTTGTCCTTGACATTGTTACAATTGTGTTTTGTAGCACTGGAAAAGCAAATGATAACATGCTTGAAACAACAAAACAGCATCTAGAGAAGTAAGAGAAAAAAACACTCAGAAAATAAGTTTGAAAAACACACTTTTTGTAAGCTAATTGCAAACAGGTAGTCAAGGCAGCCAGGGAGGAGCAGCAGAAAAAAGCAGATGGGCAGGCCAGGAGGACCTGCCACTTGCCACATCATTTGACATGAATTACAGTCAGCATTCTGTCTTTAAAGACTTTGTAAGGAAAGGACAAGAATCTTGCCTGACGATTTATCTCAGATGTAAATAAATCCACGTCCTGTTTATCAACCAAAAAACTGAATAGGGTCAGAATCAAGTGAATGTGGCTTTTGTTTTGGTCTGAGTGGCCACATGATTTCTTGAAAAGAGACCCATAAGCTGAAGCAAAGGTTCCTGGGAAAACAAGTGAATCACCCAAGGAAACTGGTTCCTCATTGACCAGGTGATGTCTATGTGAGGTGACCTTCAAAGTAGGTGCATGTCTATGCTTTACAGGTGGAAATTCCTGACACAGGACATTAAATTCCCCCTTTTGAGCCCTCACTTTTCACCAGCATTTGAAAACTTTGACCATAGGTGTCTGTTTTGTTTAACAGTTCTTTGGGCTGTTAAACTGTTACCACATTCAGCTCCGCTGTCTTCAGAATTGTGGCACTGAAATGTCCAGGAATTAGAAATAGACCTGTGACTTTGAATTTGAGGAACAATATTGGTTCCTATGGGCAACATCAATAGATCGTCACTCAGAAGAGTGTCTCTACTGACAGGTTTTTGGTGACTAGTCTACTACAAGCAACCAGGTAATTCCTGTAGCTAGACTGACTCTACAGCCTTAATAGTCTACAGGTCTCCTTTACCAAAGTACCTAAGTATGTTAATTTACCTTTGATTTTCAGATACTATATAGAATTAGGCTTATATTTTACCACTTCCATGTGTCTCTTGCTGCACTGCAGCCTCACCAAGCTAACAGTTTCCTAATTCTTGTTGCATTTTGCCTGTATATTCTGTGTTGATCTGTCAACATCTGAGGGCAATCCAATAGTTTTCCTGTTTTGGATGGGAGACACTAGGTGTTTATTCACAGGAACACATGCACTTACACACACAGACATGCGTGTAGCCACGGAAGAAAAAGTTCTTGCAGTGCAGCATCTTGTTGCCATTGTGGCCCTGAAGGAGGGAGGATCTCTGCTTCTTCTCAAAGATCCTCTCTACTGCATTCTGAAACTACCACCCAAGGGAAAGTTCCTCTAGCAAAACCTTCAGATATTAAACCAAAAAAGTCATAAAATCCAAATCCTTGGGCTTGAGACTGTTATTCAGCTGTATTGAACTGAGGACCTCACTGTCACTGGTTTTGCTATTGCAGGATTCCCAGCAGGAGAACTGCAAAAGCCTTTCTTTTGGGGAACAGAGTATCCTCGGTAAGTACTGTACCAGGGAACTTCTTACAGCCGAAAATGAGTAATAATGGGGAAAGGTATTGGAAATACATATAGACAGGGAAGAGGGCATGGAGAAGAAGGCTACACTGCTGAAGACGACTAATAGGCAGTGCACAGGAATACTGTGTTGTCCTTCTCTAGGGAAAGCTTGGCCCCTGGGTTGTGTGTTCTTCCCTGCTGCGTCCTGCTTTTACTGTTGAAAAACTAGACTTTGAAAACTGCTGCTTTGCGCAATAACTTTTCTTACCCTTGGGAGCTGTACGTGTTGCTGTTGTCTTAAACTGATGACTGATTTCTCACAGGAATTGCTAATTATGTGCACCTGAGTGGAAGTGTTTCAATGCTGTAGCATGCAGATGCGGCAGTGTGCACATGGCAGGTATTAAAAAGAATTGTAAATCGGGTAACCAACACTTCCTGAACAGAAGTGAATACCCTGAGAGGCCATTTATTATCAGTTTATTGTTCACTTTCTGCTAATACCTAAGATTAACTGTGGGCCTTCGGCTGTGCCTCTTGAGGTGCATGAGAATATCTCTATGTGCATAAGTGATTGCCCATGTGCTACTATAGCTGAAGAAGAGTAATTATAGGTCACGTATATTTAATTTTGAAAAATCACTGCTTTTGTGCAGTTCAATAACTTTCTATTTTAGGACAGGATAAGACCATGAAAAGTTTCTGAAAGTTATTTTGCAGTTATATAAAGCCAGTTACTGGTGAAAGAGATCTTTAATAAATCTTTGTTAAAAACAAATCAAAGTTTAAAAACATTTTGGGTTTGCCGTCTTCCAATCTGGATGTGTCCTTGTAAACAGGAATTTGGCAATATATGTAAAGAGACACATTCAATTTAGGAACAAATGAATTTGCATTTGAAGAGAATTCTTATGAGCCAGGTGACTTTCTAAGTGGTAATTAGGACTAGAAGAAAGTCCTTTCTTGTTAAGGTGAACTTGTTTTCTGATGTGGTTATTGCAGACCTGTTTCCAGCTTTGCTTTCTGAAGAGATTTCTCTGTACCCTGACCTTCTGCCATAGAGATAAAATTGTGGTTCTTTCAAAGAATTATACTTTGCTCATTTCTCTTCTTTAAAGGTTACCTGAGCTTAAATTGGTTTTGCTTGAGTACGTATCAAAATGAAATTTAGTAAACAAATGTAGCTGTTCTATATCAGACAACAGATTGCTTTTGTCCTTGAAATACTCTGGATCTGTTTTCTGTCTGCTTAAAAGAAACAGTACATGGCACTGGAACAGAAAAATCATCAAAAAGTCATCAGCACTTGCTGGAAAACTGATTTAGCAATTATTTAACATTTAGTGGAGTTTTAGTGTCCAGTTCCAGCATAACCGCTACAAAACAGCTGCATCTATTTGCATAAAGGGAAGCTAAGTTATCACTTTACATCTCAATACATGAAATAGAATACCATTCAAATGCCATCTTTCATAGTTCCGAGTCTTCGCTGCCAGATATTTTGAAATAAAGACTTCAAACCACCCGAGTCGGTAGCTTCCTTACAGTCCTTTGAGCCTCCCCAGTCCCAGAAAGTTCCCCTCTGACGTGGTACCTGCTGGGCTGCACCTAATCTCCTCCATTTGCCTCTAGCTGTGCCCCAGAAATGAAGAGCATGAACAGAGCTGGGAACATTTCTGGCAAAAATGATTTTGAGCTGGACAAAATGCTGAAGGAGGTTCACAGGATTAAAAGTCAAAATTCACCCCAAATTTCACCCCATCTTTTGAAGCTGGGGAAAGCCCTAGGAGCCCCCAGGCATCAGCCTGTTCTTTGTCCCTGCCACCTGCAGTGACCAAGAATCTTAGAGGAAAAATAAGATATATTTAGTAATTGGTATTTGTTCTTCTCGACCTCTTTACATGTTTTACACCATTCTTTTTTTATAGTTCTCCAGCTGCAAAAGATCCTGTATAACCATTTTACCTCAGATGTGGAAAACAAGTTTAACATAGTACATTTAGTATGGATAATTATCACTGTGTGCTACACAAGATTACAAATTTGTCACACAAAAGGATGATATTTCCAGTGCTGAAATGTATAATTTTAAACAGCATTTTTTAGTGAAGGTTTGCAATAGTACTTGGCGGAAAAAAAATCCAAACAGGAGGGAAGATTTTATCACATGCAAATTACCTTTCAGGAAAGAAAAAACAAAGTGAAGAATTGTCATGGGAGTAGGGGGAATTAAATCATATAATACTTTTTGGGCATGACTGAGATGAGCAATTAGTGTGCTATGGATCATTAGGTCCAGTAATAACATGTTACTTCAAAACCCTCTGCCTTTCTCCTATTCCAATACAATGTGTTAGAAATACTATAAGCTACTTCTAAGTATGGCATCTCAATAATTGAAATAATTAAAATCACAAAGAACAACATAATAAATGAAAGATGCATTTGGTAGATCACTTTCCCCCTGCAATATCCACTGCATTTGCTATAAAAAAACCCTGACTCTTT